GGATTTTATAGAAGAAAATAGAACTTAAAAGAAAGATAATTGAAAGGTGAAAGATGATTCGAGCATATTCCGTATCAATGAGCTACAACGGCTTGTAGCTCAGTGGTAGAGCAGCCGACTGCAGATCGGCAGGTCACCGGATCAACCCCGGTCGGGCCCTTTTTTTTTCGCCTTTTAATTGGAGGGTTTTCATGTGGTTTTGGTATAATGGACACATTAGGGCACCTTGAAGTTGTTGGAGGTGTGCTGGCAAGTGGGCTTGGTGGCGTTGAAAGGTGCCGGTGGGAATATAGAAACTGGGTGTCAAAATCAGTGGAGCGCGGCGCATGTCGACTCGAAGGGGACACTGCATGATTCCCAGTCGATCCATCTCTCGATTGCCGGTTTGGTGACGGTTGAGTATCTTGTCATGATAGGGACCAACGTTAGACTTTGGGGTATTTTGACACTCAAAAACAAAGTGCACCGGCTGTTGAAGATTGTTCCAATCATGGTAGTTGACCCAAGGTACCCCGTTGGCATCGACACGATGACACTTCATGCGGTAACGAGTGCACTTCCACAAGCCGAAAAAGGGTAAGGTTGGAGATCCACCTCCACAAAAGTAACAGAACGGGTAGAGCGCGCCCAATGCCACCATGGAAAGCGGAAGTCGACCAATAAGGGTGGCCATGTCGTCTCGCGAGCTCATGTTGTTGGCAGTGCAGAAGTTTTGGAGCTCATCTTGGTTGAAGTGCTCCAGCCAAAGCATGCTAGCATGAATATTAATAGCTGAAATGGTGGGGAGCGGCCCTTGTTGAGGCTGTGGCTGAGGAAAGTTGGGCTGTCCGGGTGGTAGAGGTGTGACGGGATGAGGAGCTCCATGGAAAGGGGCGATGTTTTCAGTTGTGAATGGTTGACCGGGAAATAGAAATTGCTGTGGTGCCTCCATGGTGATGTGATGGATGTTTGTTCACGATAGTTGAGCAGATCAGCGATCACAGAGTGCGAATGATGATTAAGTTGTGGTCACTGGAGGTTGTACGATGCCAATGCAAAATGCTTTGAAAAGCACCTTTATACGCGTAAAATGGAGGAGCAGTACACCTATTTACGCCCATGAAATTACACCGAAATTCACGAGCAAGCTAT